ACTGGGTTTCTGCGGGTTTAGTAACAGTTTGACTTCAGCCAGGTGGGTGTATAAGCTAATGCAGTTCAGCACTATGATGGAAAATTGTGGGATGATTGGTGCCATGAGTTACTTGCTTTTGGTTATACGCTGTCGACTTTGTGATGATCTGCTAGAAGCCCATGCTGTTGTAGGCAATCCAAACATGCCTCCTCTTGGGTTCTTCTTCCAGCCTGCTTCTTTCTTCTTTACACTGATCCTTGGTGGTGCCAACAACTTGTTTTTCTGGGAACCATTGCAGGGAGCTGTTAAGTCCATGTCAGATGAGTCTGTTGACTGTATTAGTTCAAAGTTTTGGACTCCAAGGGCAACTGCCAGATCATCTTCAGAGCACACAGCCTCCACACTTGGAGAGGTCAGAAGGGAAGAAATCTCTGTCATTATCTTCTGGTTGTGCTTGGGTGCATGTTGGTATGGCCCATGTCAAAACTTCCTCAGGTATGTCAAAGTACTTACCTCTTGCATCAGCTATTACAGATTTTTGTTTACTTTCAGATTCAAGTGAAAGGTTGATTGAGAGCAAATCGTGGAGGACACCACCTAACTTGTTAAGGAACTGTGCAGTAGGGGCAGCCTGCCCAGTGCCCACTCAGTAGTGCATCCCCAGGGCCACATCTACAGTGACATTTTGGAGCTCCAGCTGCAGCAGAGGACTGCAGATGAGTGCCAGGCCTCCCTTGGCTTTGATGTTCTTCAGCTGTTGTGCCATCTCGGTTCAGGTGTGCAAACTGAGGCAATCCAGGTGCCAGTTGTCACCTGAGATTCAGCAGCTGACACCACTGCCTCTCTTCTCCAAGCTGAGGGGCTTGCAAAACTAGCTCCTTGGTCTACTTGATTTTGAAGGGGAGGCTGCAGTGTGGTGCCCATAGGTTGTCTCAAGTTACTTTGGGAGGACAGCCTAGGGCAGTTCTTTGAGTTTGCTTTGTGAGCCTGACCACAGTTTGCACACTTGATCTCACTACTTGTGCAGCCACTTACATGGAGAGGTCCAGCACATACCAGGCAACGTTCAGGTCCACGGCATCCCTGAGCTTAATGCCCAGGTTTCTGACAGCGAAAGCACTGGAATGGTGGAAATACATATGAAAGGGCTTGATACCTGATAGGGCAAAACTTAATATGGGATGGTAGAGCTTCCTCAGCAAAGACCATGCATAGAGATGTTGATGGGAGTCTGATGCATTCTTGCTGCCATTGTAGTCTTTCTATACGGACCACTTCTGCTGGTCCCTCAACTTTCAAACATGCTTTTTAGAGTTTTTGTGTTTCCATATCCGCATAAATTTCCACTGGAGAGATGACTCCATACAGATATCTTGCTTGATTGGGTCGATAGCTCATAGCATTCCAGGGCGCAGAGGGAGGATGCAGCGTCGCCAATATATGGGTTTTTAAGCCCTAAGCATCGCCGGGTAATTTTTAATGAAAAGCCATTTACGCTGAGTAATGAAAAACTATTTACATGCCACGAACATATCTACAAGGTTGCATGCATGTGTTACCCCAAATAACTAATTTTACCCTAAAAACAGTCCGATTGTACAGCAAGTGTCAACTGAACATATGATAATGCAGTCTGACCGCTCTAATGTGACCGCAACTATGTAATCATAAACTAGATGTTTACATTTTTTTGGCAGGAACTTATCGCAACTGATTTCCGGACAAGCTTCACTGCATCCTGATCCATCCAACTATTCCAACATACTGGAATTTCTGGAAACCTCACTTTTTTTCTAAATAGTTGACCAAAGACTGACAAATATAATAAATGCAATAATTTCAATCTAAGTGTGTCGGCAAGATCTTCTGAAGGTGTAAATTTTGCTACTGAAGCATCGCCAAAGATCTTGCAATATTCATCCACTCTCTGCACAGTGGAATTAGCATTGGACATTCCAAGGCCATAGGCCTAGTGTTGTAATTGGCAGAATCTTTGGGATTCTCCATCTTAATGGCAATCAGCAAATCAGGATTCAGGTTCTTCCTCAAGTTTATTCTTACAGTCTTACATCCTTGATATTGCAAGTGGAATATGGTGGGGTGGCAAGGGCAGAGCAGAGCTTGGCTGGAGAGGTCAGCATCTTGCGAAAAGCAGCATCCACAGGCCGGATCAGGACAACGCTATTGTCATTTCTGTCTTCTGCAGTTCCATGCATTGTGGATTGTCTTTATCAATTTTTTCTGGCAATTGATTGTCTCCGTTGTTATTACTATTGCCATATTGGTTCTCTTAGTCTCAATGTTAATCAATTTGTTCTTCTGAACAGAATATGGTTATGGTATACCTATTTTTCTCACTAGATCACTTTCATTGTTTGATTGATGGGTTCTTTTCTGTATCAGGGGTCATATCTTCTGTTGCTTTCCTCTTGGGTCTTTCAGAATTCACTTCTTCACATAAGTTCACAAATTTGATCTTCAGCCCAGTCATCACCTTCACCTGTGAGGCTGTGTTTACAAAGTGTTCCATTTGAGATTCAGTTACCTAGATTTTCTGCATTACTTTCTAAGCTTCCAGGAGATCCTGGAGCTTGAAAGCCGTTCTGATTAGGCTTTGGCTTATCTAAACCACAGAAATAGTATTTACGCTTTACCAGGAGGCTAAGAGCTATGTTAACTCGGCCACAGTCAGAGTCAGACTGCCCTCTCTATTGTGTTTGTTCTGCGAAAACCGACAGCCCTAAAATACTATTTTCAAGTTGTACATTTTAGTGAATCCGCAAAGGAGGAATGACAGCGCATAAACATTTTAAAACGAGTCACAATTCAATTGTAAGTCTCATTTTAAAATGTAATTTCATCTACCGAAAGCAAATTTGAAATAAAATAAGAAATAATTTCGTATAATTTTCAAGCTACGTTGCGTACAAAAATTATGATATACAACTGAACAAGATGTGTTAAAACACGCGCAAGCGATGCGATAGAGAACTTTTTTGTTTATTATATTTGTAGGCACATGCCTATAGAAAGATTCTATGGCAAATTACAAGGAGAATAAAACTCAAAGTGCTACAATCACTCCTATTTTTTCATATTTATAAATTATTCGCCAAAAATTAGTTACAAGTTCAATACAGCCAGAAATATAATCGATCACGAGAAAACCATTATTTAGCAACTAACTTCAAGAAGAGAAAGCTTGAGCAACAGCAAACATACAATGCCTGAAGTTTCAGCCATACTCTGATAGGTTTCGACTGGGTATTGAAAAACCAAAATAAAGTCTTTTCCAAATATTTTTTTTATCAAATTGGAATGTTTTGAAGATTTTTGTTAGTGGAATTTTTGCATTAGTAGCAACTTCAAAAGCTTCACCCAAATCGCTTACAGCAGTTCTATCGTAATCATAATGCAAGAAAGAAAGCATCGATGTTCCCTCATTAAACGGTTTTGTAGCCGCTAGTGAAGTTATGATCCAAATTTCGCTTGATAGTTAGCAGTCAAGATGCTAAGAACTCGTGTTTTTAGAAGCCTAAGGATTAATGTATTTAATATGAAATTGATGGAGAGAACGAACTATTTGTGTAACATGATGGTCAGCTAGATAAATTGGAATTGGTATAAATTAGAGTGGCGAGCATGGCACTAGGAGCCCCCAAGTGGACTGCGGTAGAGGCCCTGAGAGGGACATGGGATGTATATGAGATGAGAGCAGTTTTGAGGTATACAGTGATACTGGAGCGAATGGACGATGAACGTTGGGCACGAAAGATGTATATGTGGAACATGAAGGTGAGTAAATGGGCACGTAGATGCCGGGCAGTGGTGCGTAAGTGTGGTATGCATGAAGCATGGGAGCGCCAAAGGCCCGCTGGGCCAAAGGACGAATAGGTGGTGACAGTACGGGACTACGGGGTGCAATTGGGATAGACTGGGATGAAAAAGAGTGGAAAAGAGAAATAAATAAGCGAGAGCAAAACTATGGACTGAACGTGTGGAAGCAAGGAATGGAGGGAAAGACACTCTAAGACTGTATCAGATGAAAGCGATGCCAAAATATGAATGTAGGTATGATGGTAGTAGAGGTGGGGACCTTCTGTTTTGTGTTAGGGCAAGGGCGCTAGGTGTGAATGGACGCATACAGGTGGAATGAGAGGAGGGAAGATAAATGTTTTATGTGTGATGGGGATGAGAAGGAAACTGTGGAGCACTTATTGATGGAATGTGGAGCGTATGGAACAGCGTCAGTCTACGATGGAGGTGATTCTAAATGAGAGAAGTGAGATTAACGAAGTGGGGTATGAGAGAACAAGCGAAGAGTGGATGGCAATAATTACGGGTCTGTATGAGGGAGCAACTGCGGCTATGTTTGAGAGTGTGAAGAGATATTTGGAAAACGTGTAGAGGATGATCGAGGGAGAGGAGGATGATAAGAGTGGGGTCTTGAGGAGTGGAGAGGGAAGGGTGGGAAGACAAATGTGACACAGCCGAATTGTTTCAAGTACGTTGTTTCTTTAGGATGTTGCATAGCGAAAAGCTTTTTTTCTTAGGATTGCTGTGAACACGTCATATTTGAACTTTTTGTTAACATAGGAGTGTGAACTCTTAATTTTTGGACGCTGGTAAAAGAGCTTTTATGCAGCATGTACGACCGATTTAAAGGTCGTGACCGGAGGTCACCACGCACCCCAATTCCATTACAACAATTGAGTAATAACACATGTATCAATATTCATATTTGAAAATTAGGATGAAATAATTGAACGATCAACACATGGAAACGTCAAAACTGAAAATACATCCAGGATCCCAAATATAATAATTTTATAAAGCTAGCGTTGAAAAAAATGCTGCAAACATATTGCATAACTATACCATACCCGATAACTGCGATAATTTTGATCAGAATTTTCACAGGTCACAGCCATCTGCGCGCATCGTAGCCGCTACTCAACCCTGTTGATCATGACCATTTGGAAACCACACGACTATGATTAGTGGAAAAGAAACCAAACTGAGATTCCTTAGGTTTTTATAGGTTTAAAATAGAAAATTACTATCGCTATTACATTTGAGACATCGTGTCTATGAATGATTGTAGTAAATGCTTAACTTAATTAAATCGTCGATAATGGATCTCGGCCACTTGGACATCAAAGTTAGGGTAATATTTCAGACCATCATTACGAAAAGATTCACGCCATCGGAATAACAGCCACAATTCAACAGCGCAACAGCAACGTCAATTCAGACGCTGAACTTGGCAGAACAGGCCGAGAAGCCACTCTCCTCCCAGTCGTCCCTGGTGACGAGCTGCTCGGGAAACTGAGCGGATTGGCTGACGGCAGCTCCTCCGTGCCATGCGTACTGCGTTGGCCTGACACAAACAATCGATGCATGGTTTTGGTGGCCGTTAGTTTTACGACTGTTCAACAATGTTGCTGAATAAAAGAGTTTTTAAATACGAACAGAGGTTGAAAAGTTGCCTGTAACTTGCGAATGTCTACCTATTTAAAAAGCCAACTTGAAGCTAACGCAATGTTTACCGGCACCACAAAATAAAAACCATCGAGACGAGAATCCTAGATTATTTATCGTTTCAGAAGTAGATACACTACGCAAAATTTCTCAAATAGAACAATAATTCGACACTTGCTAGAAAGTAAAATATTTTTACATAACAAGCGCGCAGAAACCAGCGAGAAAAAGCTCTACTGGATCCTCAGATGGAGACATAAGCAAAGACAGGTGAATACTCTTCAAGTTGGACACTCACCCTTTGGCGAGAGAAACGTTGACTTGGTATTCGGCAGGTGCGGCACTTCTCACTTCACTGTAAACGCGCTCACAGAAGCCTGGTATGTTGCAGTTACCACCTGTCAGGAAGATATTCCTGAAAAAATAGAGGATCTTTAAAAAGATATCCTGACTCAGACCTATCGCCGAAAATAGTCACTCATAAAGCCTAAAGAAAGATTGAAGAGCAAAACGAGACCAATGAACAGGTAACAATAATGCGGCATCATCCAAACTAGTCAGTCATGCATACTTGGAAATATGAATTTCAAACTTCATTGGTAATAAAACTGTTCGGAGGCACGTTTATGCACCTCCAGACTGATTACATTTTTAGTTTTACCTGAACCTGAGGAGAGGGATTCGTTGACTAAGTTCGTGAGGGATAAACAAGACACCCTCTGTCTAGAAGCATTTATCTTGATACGGGTGGTAATAAATGAGTTAAATTAGTGGTATAAGGCTGTAAGGTTGTTAGTTACATATTAGAAGGCACCGAAAGGAAATCGTTCTTACAAGAGACCATACCGTGCGTTAAGAGAGTCGTTACGAGGCTGTCCTATCGTGAGCAACCCATTTCTAGGCCTAGTTGACCTATTGCGCCACTCTCTTGCTGTGCTTTGAGTCAACTTACACTGCTTTTATTGGTGAGCTGGTTATATTAGACCAAATGTATCCTAACAATAAATTAGCTATTTCTGTTTCATGTTCATTGCTTGAAAAGTGATAATACTTATAATCTTAAAGTCAGTAATCTCAGTCAGTATGAAAATATTTATTCCAACATAGGGTTGCGGGTCATGAGAGTGAGTTGCCTCCGGGACCGTGTATTCCAAGTTGCTTGGAAGGATCTCGCGAGCTCCCTGGACCAGGGACGTGCAACGACCTCTGTCATCCATTGTGATCTGTTGGACTGGGCGCTTAAATCTCTGGTCATTTCAATCTTTCTAGAAATATTGTTTCATCATTGTTCTCGTTCAATAAATTAGTTTTGGTGGCTGATATTTGATGCACCCGCGTCACGAACTCGATAAAGTACAAGACTTCATTACATTGGAGGCCAGCATTGTGCTAATGTTGTAAACATAGAAGGGTAAGATACTATTATCTGTAAATTTATTGTTTAGTGGTGTTTCTTGAGATTTCTTCTGTGTTATTCTTTGTCATAAATGTTGGAAAGTGATTTCGTTGCCAATGGTATCAAGTTAGGTTACAAAGATGTTGAACTGCGCGAGTATGTTAAGCAAAGATGTGAGCGCAGTAAAAGAGAACTTGAGCGTGAACACATTAGTGAGAAGGAGAAGTACGATTTGCGAAAATTAGAAGTAGAGAAAGAGATGAAACTGAGTAGATTGGACTTGGAGCGTGAATGAATTCGTGCACGTGATACTGGTAATTCCGTTGGACAATCTTCCAGTAGAGCTAACATTAAATTGACGACCTATCATGATGGTGACGATGTGGCTGTTTAATTACGTAACTTTGAGAAGGTTAGAGATGCCAATAGTTGGTCTCCGTCAGTAGCTGTATCCGCGTTGGTGAATGGCTTTGTAAATTCTAAAGTTAGCAGTTTGCTCGATACCATTTCATCTGAACTTCCATATGAAGAAATTAAAAGACTCATTATAAGTAACTTTGGATTAACTGTGTACGATTATCAAAAGAAATTCAGATTTGCCAAACAGTCCACCGAAAGCATTGCTCAGCTTGTCTTGTCTTAACTGAAATGATTATTAAAGACCAATTGTTACGATCTGTGGGCAAGTCTCTCGCTGAATATCTGAAGGAGAAAAACTTCTTTGAGCTTAGTTTGAATGATGTAGTTCATTTAGCAGACAATTTCCAGGCAATTCATGGTGGTGTTGATGTTCGGAAAAAATAGATTTCAAATTTAAGACTAAGGAGGCAGATGTCAAATCAATTGAGAATAGAACTTGCTATAAATGTAATCAGTCATGCCACATAGCTCGATTTTATCCAGGAGAAAATAAGAATTAAGTGTGTACGTTTGCCGATGTGGACAGATACGCTAGTATAAGGGTACTGGGTCAAATGAGTCGTCCCGTTCCCAAATCACGTGTTTCAATTGTCCAAAATTAGGCCATATAGCGAAAATGGGTCCTGAAAAAAAACGTTCTCGATATGCATATGCCAATATTAACGAACGTTGAACCAAGTACTCCACTTTCAAATGTATTGCCCATAGATGAAACTGTCGCTGTGTCGTTTACTCGCAAAGTTAGGCAATTGAACTTACCGGTTGTGGAGGGTGAATGTAACGGGAAGAAGGTGAAGGTTTTGAGAGATGCGGGTGCTACATGTGTTTTGGTAAGGGAAGCTGTGGCAAATGTTGCGAAGTTCACTAATCCGTCCGTACGTGTAAAATTTGCCGATGGTCATACTGTCATGGCCAGGAAAGTTCCTGTGTCATTGCAACGTGCTTATTTTAAGGGTGACATTGATGCAGGATGTATTCCCAATTTACCTTTTGACGTGTTGGTAGGCAATGTACCTGGTTCTATTTCTGCATGTAAAGCTGGCAATGTCCTAAGTAGTCTGTACTGTAAAGATTTTGACCCCGACTTGGATCATCGTGAAGGTATGAGCGAAGTTTCTATGATGGCCATGGAAACGCGTGCTCAGAAAGACAGAAACTAGCTGAGAATGTACCTCAAGTCTCAAGCATCTTGTCAAGCAGCGCACTCAGGCTCGAAATGAACGAGCTGACAAAAGAGGCTTAGATTCAGATGCATTTTTTCAATAAAATGGGGCGCCTGATTGAACCGGACAGAAAAAAGACAAGCGGAACAAGAGTGATCTCAAAAGATTTAGCACTTATAATGTCGAGTTTAATAACGCAAAGTTCATATCGGCTTCACAGTAAAACAGCAAACAATCAAGTTTGGTCAAGGAGTGGAAGAAATATTCGATCACACGTCGACGGAACAGACCTGTAGAGGTGAGGTCTGGTCTCCTCAGGACACGAGGAGATGGCCTGCACCACGGCCTCCGCCACGCCTTGCTGTGGCACGCCGATATCTGAAGGCCGGAATAGCAGCTCCGGCACCGCGAAACGCTCGTTATTCAGGCGGATCAGCTGCAATTCACGAAACATTCAAGGTTATAAGCATGAATACAAGCTAACGAAAAAGGAGTTCCTTAATATTAAAATTGAAAGCTGTAGCAAGATTTGAAGATCTCATCACCTAATGTTAACTAAAACTTTCGTTCACGTTCATCCAACATTGCATATCCAGTAGCTGAGTTTAGAACAACCATTAGGCAAATAACTAACGCACAATCCTCCATGGATCAAAATAAATACTACACAGGGAAAGCGATCCAAGACCGGATCTAGATAGATTTCAGCTTTTGGTATATAACTTAAGAAACTATACGGGAAAAAATATAACATCATTATTTTCTGATTTGTAGAGTTGGGCAAACACGCCACTTCTCATGTTTCAGACATCATTATTTTCCCGCTTCATCAGAATTAGCACCTATCTAAACAAATTTCCTTTGACCGGGATGGCAATAACAGCCACGAAGTTCAATTTTTTTAGCATCCAATTCTTTCCTTCAGTGTGGGGAGGGCATATGAAAAGAAATTAATTTACGTTCGGCAGCTAATAAGGTAAAAGTCGTCTTGATAGGTGAAACATTTCATGATCTAAGGAATTAGTCGTCCTGTTAAGACACGATAACCACAATTCCTTAAATGATAGGCCTGATATCGATTAGCGACTTCACAGGCACCCATGATTATCGTAATTCAATGAAGTATCACAACATATAAAATCGGGTATTAACCTTAGGCAATGAGGGCACCTTATGTTAGGCCCGTCATATCAATGATAATTACGCACAATAAAAGTACAATGGAAGTTAAACTTTAGATTAAGTTTAAAGCCCTGACAAAAAAGTATTATCGATTACAATTCCTTTTTCATCAAATGAATTTAAAGAAAGCACCTGTTCATTATTAGGGCTTTTTCCATTAGATTCTTCTAAGGAGCGGAGGTAGCCGCGCTTGATGGTGGTGAAGTCTGGCAAGACGTAGTCTCGTAGGATGTCGTTAGCGGGGGGTTTGAGGCGCGCCTTCTTCATGTCCGCATTGAAATCTGCGCTCACAAAGCACGAGTCTTCCTTCACCTGATTGATGACGTAAGTCTCGTCCATGACGTTAAGTTGCCTGCAAGACACTGTTTGTATGGTCATAGAGGCCCAACATACAGCTTCACACTCAGTCAATTAGTCAAAGACAGATATTAGCAAAATAATGTACTGGGCATGTCATAACTGCCATTTCGATCCAGAGGATGGAATTGAAGTAATACTTTTTTTCATCACGTACATATTTTATTCTGAAGAATAAACGTTTATTTTAACAATAATAACATCCATTAGAAGGCATGCAAGGTTATTAGGCAAAAAGACTAAAAGAGAACAGTCTCAAAAATAACTCCTTCATTTAAATATGAGAAACACGAACGGCACTTATTGGTGAATAAATAGCATTTAAAAGTTTTTTTGCATGCACCTTCCTAGCAACCTACAAGTCAATGTCTCTGCAGATCCATGTCTGTAATCCAGGGATATCAACCACAAGTCTGATATTTTCCCATTGCTATAAATTCCTACCTGTAAGAAACAATATCCTTGAGGTGATTGGTGAGCATCTTTCCACCCATTTCTATCCTGATGATGGCATCCTTCTGCTTCTTGCCTTGAATGTAAGGCGCGATGTGTGTGAAGCTGAAGCCTGAGTCGACCAACAGACAGCAGAGTTCTTTGGGGCGGTCGCGGTGGTATTTGTGAACTGATAGATCGCCCGCTGTAAAATATCAGTACAGAAATGTAGCCAATGTTTAAAAACTACTTTGTTTGAGGCAAAAATCCATGAAAACTTAAACAGCGTGAAAAGTCTGATGTAATCTCGTTGGCTGTATGTACATAAATTATTTAGTAACAAGTAATACTTTGGAATGCAGCAGGTTTTATTGCTGACAATACAAACTCAAAATAATGTCTAGTAATCTAGTTCAGTAAAAAATCTGAACTCCAAAACAATTTGATCCTTTGAACAGGAAACTGGAAAATAATTCATGGATGACTGCATTCATATGAAATTTATGTAAAAAGCTCACCGTTTATCCTAAGGAGCGCATCCACCTCATACTCTTCAAAGAATATCTCGCTCATGGCCTCTTGTATGGAGGTGAAGTTGAAGAAGGGCTCAGTGACAATCAGAGTTGTGCTTGCATGGTTCACGTTGAAGATTTCTTTGCTAAAAACATAATCCCACACGGTCTTCTGCACATCCCAGTTGACAAGGTAACCCTGTGAAAAACATTGATTTTTAATGATGAAGTGAAAACCAAAATGCATGTATATGTAACACTTGCTAAACTGCAGAACCAAGCCAATTCATGCTCAAATAAGTTATTATATAAGATGTATATATTTTCAACAAGATAACAATTCAAATCTCAGCAACAGTAAACTCTGGACAAAAACAGTCCAAGTTCTTATACATCAGAGTACTTATAATCAGAACTTCAATACTTGTGATGTTTCATACAAGAAAAATGTAAAAGGTTTTGCACAACTTTGTTGTGATCAAAAGGAATAAAGCCATGAAATTAATGCTTATTTTCATAATACCTTGTATTATCTTCATCTTACTAAAATTTTTGTACATCAAAGCTTTGATGCAGATACTTGTTATGCCTAATAATGATAAAATTCTGTAATTAGGAAAAATGAAATTTTATTGTGAACTAAATTTAACTTCCAACTTATACATACCGTAAAATGGGGTAACTTAGACCGGCGGGGTAACTTAGACCACTTTTCGTTTTTTTTAACAAAAACCCCCACAACTCAAAAACTATTTGACATAGAAAAATTTTGTCAAATTGAAATTACATAAAGACTATGAGAGGCAGGAGCCAGCAATTTATGGTGAGTGAAGCTAGAGTATAGACCTGTATTTTGCATGTTTCAATTCAAGTTTAATTTAGCTAGTAAAAAAATGGCATCATTTATAATAAAAAAAGTGGTCTAAGTTACCCCATTTTACGGTACCTATGCACAAATTAATGTTCCATAATATTTTTATAGAATAAGCAAAATTTTACATACTATGTATGATATGCATTAGAAAGCTACCTTTTGAAAAGGCAAGATATAAAAGAGACCAGATGCATCTCTGCAGTCATCCAGTTGATCACCAATGAATGGCCGCCTTCTCTCACTCTTGGCTTTCATGACCGCATTCAGCAGCACTCTGTAAAATCATCAAATTACTATGGGACAAACCTCAAACATTTTGTTGAAGCCACATTTTTGATAGCATATATTTTTCCCCGATGCAAATTTATTATTTATTCAGAAGATCAGCTAGTCAGCAACATGTCACCTAAGGCAGCAAATCAGAAATTTCTGTTTGACACCCTTGTTAAGTACATTGGAGAGTGGAGCCACAACAAAGATATTCTTTTGTAAGGTCATGTTTCTATGAGAAATCATAATTTTGGAGATTTTTGTGGTATGGATGTTAAAGATAATTTTTGTCAATTTTTAATCATTTTTCAATTTCAAAGAGCATAATTGTACAGCAATAGCTCAATAACAAGCTGTAAATCAAAAAGCTCACACATAGTGACCTTAAAAATGTGCTTGCAAGTTATGTGTAAATTCTATCAATGCTCAAGTCAACCAACATACCAAAAATAAATTCAGTGGTAGCAACCAGAGATGGACAATCCAAATAATGCATGGATAGCATGTATTTAGGGTAAACACGGTATATTCCAACACATTAAGGACGTAGCAAGAAATGAATGGCTTTAAAAATATCACCGTATGCGCAACTCGAGTTCTGACTGCTTTACTCACTCTCAAAATACCACACTACGCGCCAGCAACAATGAAACGTCAAAAAACGTTGCATTATTTATTTAAAAGCCTTTAGAATTCAAACCTACAAAATCCCTGAATTCCAACGCTGTGTGCAACTAAATTCGGCATATTGTGAGACTAATTCCGGCAGTGCTTCAAACTCTATTCATTTGTAATTCCGGCACCCTGTGTTGGAATTCCGACGCCCTGTGTGAGCTGTATCGGAATACAACACAGCTCGGAATGAGCTTACTTAAAAAATTTTAATTAAGCTTTTAATTAAGAGCTATTAAGCTTTTAATTAAGAAAATTCTAATTTTTGGACACAGCTCGGAACGAGCTGTGTGTGTCTAATTCCAAAGTTTTTACGTGTCTAAAACCATTGCTTAACTTAATCGTCTATTAATTTATTTACCACTTGAAATCAGCATATACAGGTATACTTAAAGGATTCCTAATATATTCACAGACTTATTTAAAAGTCTCAAACCATAATATTCTTTCTACACAAACAGTTTATCACTATTTGGTATAGCAAGGTCAACTATCAACTTTGACACATTTTTTATGTTCTCACTGGGTGACGTGCACTGTCTCTCTTTGGATCTTAAAATTTTCCTGCCAGACGGCCCAGACCTAGTGTTTTGGCAATAGTATGGCGCGCAATAGTATGATGTCACTATTTCAACAATCAACGAATGCGTGGAACTAAGACAAAGCTTAATATAAAGGAAAAAAGTTGAGAAGTGTCGGAATTACCCATGATGTTGGAATATACCGCGTTTACCCTACATACATTTTATGAAGAGTTAGAATTCAGTCTACAAACAAATCATGATCATAGCAACAAAAGACTCCACTATACGAAACAAACCTTGGTTCTGTTTGATTGGAGTAGCCTGCTTTGATGGTGTGGGCCCCATTGTCCATGATGAAAACATTTGAGGTCATGATGATTGGTGAAGTTTTTTCACACTGCCAGGACCCAAAAGTCAAATACAATATGCTTTATTTAATGCTATAGTTTAGGTAGTGAAATGATATCTAAGTTTACTACCTAGCAAGTTTAATAATATACATTTAAAAATTACTTTTTAAAGACAACACTTCCAAAGAATCCAGTGTCTCCAATCTTACAGATGTACAATGAATTTCTCATTTAATTTTCTAATATTTATAAAAATTAATTTTCCATTTTTTTTAATATATAAAATTTTTTTAATATATAAATTTTTTTCAAAATGACTTATTTGGTTAATTGATTTGTGCATTGCCTGTGACTTCATACAAGTGTGCAAAATTTCAGATCAATTAGACAGGTAAAAGTGTGTCAAATATCAGTTATAAGATTTGTAGCTGACAACATTATTTTTTCAATTTTTTAATATTAAAAAAAATTCTTAATTTTTTAAATCATTTATTTTGACATTTGTTTCATGCATTGTCTCCAACTTTACACATGTGTGCAAAATTTCAGATCAATAGGACAAGTAGAAGTGTATTAAATTTTGATTACAAGATTTGTAGCAGAGGCAGACAAACAAACAAACAAACAACAAGAAGTGAAGTTAAAGAGAAGTGTTGTAAAATTATGATGAAATATAAAATTGATGAACTTTCTCCCAATATAACTTCCCAATTTCAGACATAAGAAATTATCCTTTAACCTTAATGGCTTAATGAATCCTTCCAGAGACTGGAATTAGCGGTGGGTGAAGTGGAGAGGGATCTGGGAGTGATAATAGACAATAAGCTATCCTTCAAGAAGCATGTCGCTCAGTGCTCAGCAAAGGCAAACAAAGTCGTCGGCATCATTCGCAGAACTTTTGATCACCTATCGTTTGCAGAACTTTTGATCACCTAACTGAAAAGACATTCAACTGTTTAAGAGCTTGGTAGTTGGTACGCCCACTTCTTGAGTACGGGCACTGCGTGTGGCAACCAGCACACAAGACTCTATGTAGTGATATAGAAGACGTCCAGAGGCGAGCAACAAAACTCTTGGCATCACTAAAATATAAGCCCTACTCAGATAGGCCCAACACGCTGAGCGGCTGAAGTTACCATGCTTGGAACACCGCCGGCTGAGGGGCGATATGATTGAGGTTTATAAATACCTACATGGCTACTATGATGTCTCACGCCCAAGTTTTGCGATGGCTACAGCGAGAGGCCTATGAGGAAATTCTCTAAAAATCCAAAAGAGCCACTTCAGACTGAACATTAGAGGTAACTTTTTCTCTCAGCTCAGTGCATTGTCACAAACTGGAACAGCTTGCCAGAGATTGTTGTCAAAGCACCATCTGTGGATACTCTCAAGAGTCGCCTCGATAAACATTGGCTTCATCTGCCTACTGAGTGCCTACTCTCTATGCTCCATCATGCCAGAACTAGACACTAACTTTTTTTTGCAACCCAGCCACCCCCAAATTTTGCTAATATTACAAAAGTTAGTATAGTCTCGGAGAGACAAACAGGCCTCTGAGAAAGTTCTCAAGCGTCTAACTTGTCAAGTCAAGTCAAGTCTTAATCACATGAATGAGTTTTTGCGTCACACTACATTCTACAACCTCGGCTGCACTGCTGCAGATGATATCTGCCCTTAATTTAGTTAAGTAGGTACCTACCTATTTAACTATTTTAAGGTGTCTTATATTTTACATATGCTGCGATTATTTTACCAGACATTAATATAGATTGTTTCCAATCAAATGCAGTCTTCAAGTTCAAACGCACAATCGTGAACTCAAATCCATTTTAAAAATTCTGAGAATGAAAGGACCAAATTTTTGGCCTCATGCTGGTCATGCAGAGCTGCCTGTTTCCATGTACAAAAACTCCAACCGCTCAAACTTGTGTCTATTTTACCCAAATCTTGAAAAATTGCAGTTAAAAATGTTTTTTTTTAATGAAAAAAGGCTACAGGAACGGGTGAAATTGGCAAGATTTACAGCCTCACAGGCGCTTTTGTCCGATTCGCGCGCGGATGGCTTCTGCCAGTTCTGCGGTCTGCCCTGACTGTGGAATGACCAATCATGGGCTTCATGGCCAATGCCAATTTTCCACCGAGGCTTTTTATATGCATCAGCACCAGCAGCATCACAATATATCATCAGAATGATCAGATGCTCCCTCACCAGATGAAGAGGTAGACCGTCAACGACTCAACGTCTGACGACAACTTCAAGGAAGGGGTGCGCAGCGACTCTGCGCAACGGTAGTTTTTATCCAGTAGTTGAGCACCGCCACCGGTAGTTTTTGATGATGATTGATGGTGACGGGTTGCAGCTTGCCAGTAGTTTTCAGCGGGTAGCCTAGTTGACTCTGCGGCACAGTAAACTACCATATATTTTTTTTTTTTAATTGCTTTTAAGACTTCGGGTATGAACAGATCACACCTCCCAGCCTGAGCACAACTGGGTTTCCTTGTACTATATTGCCACTCTGATTTCAAAGTAGATCTCTAAGGCCTCTCACCAGCCGGTGGATGTTGTATGGAAGGAAGTACAAAAAG